AGAGAGAGAGAGAGAGAGAGAGAGAGAGAGAGAGAGAGAGAGAGAGAGAGAGAGAGAGAGAGAGAGAATACACACGTATGTTTTTTTTTTCTCCATAGCAACCATCAACAGGTCTCCTTTATTGTATCTTGTCGCCATAGCAACAAACAACAGCTCTCCTTTTTTTGTATCTTCTTTCTTTTTTTATATCACAGCAGGTCTCCTTTTAATGTTTCCTCTGTTGTCTCCATAGCAACCATGGTGGGGGAACGCCGCAATGGGAACCTGCTGGTCCAGCTTGGTCCAAAGCTACAGGCGTACCCTGAGGAGCTGATCCGCCAGCGACGCACCCATGATGGGCAGACAGAGTATCTGATTCGCTGGTGTCTGGTTACTATCGACGACGGGTCCAACTCTGGGGACGGAGTAAACGAAACTAGCGGAGCGAGCAATGGTGGCTCTGGAGTGGGCGGGTCTGGCGGCTCCACATCTGGAGAAACTAAACCTGAGAACATTCTAATGTGGATGTCAACAGAGGATGTGTACTCCAACTGCCCCACCTTGCTCGGCAAAAGGAAGACAGACTTACAGCGCCCCCTGCAACAGCAAGAGCAGCAGCAAGAGGGTGAAACGGCTGATGGAGGCGCTTGCAGCAGCAGCGAGTTCCCGACAGACATTACCTTCGACGAGGTGGAGCTGTCCGACATGAAGCAGGATGTGAAAAACCTGGTGTGTCGAGCCCGGAAGCAGATGGCCAAGAAGAGAGACTTCTCCATCAACATCATGCACACCATCCATGTGCTGAGTGCGTACGCCAGCATTGGTTCATTGGTCGGTGTCTTCAAGGAGACGGGCGCCCTCAACCTGCTGATGGAGCTGCTGTGCAACAAGGAGACGCTGACGAGACGCAGCGCTGGCAAGATGCTGCGCGCACTGGCCTCGCACGACGCAGGTACACAAACACTACATTCAATGACTGCAGGGAATCACAAACACCATGCCATCCATATAAGATTCAGCTGAAAAAAGTACAGTTTTTTTCGCTGTATAAGTCGTGTTTTTTTGCGTAATTTGCATGCCCTGTAATTTATAGGCTGAAGCAACGTATTTATGGATTTTTTTCCCATATTTATAAACCAATTTTTGGCTGAGAATATGACTCTATTCATTCAGACTGAAATATTGAACACTATAATTTTCAGCCACTAGATGGCTGTTGTGTAGTATGGCATGCCGTTGTATCATGTTATAGGTAAAAGTGACTATTAATGACACAATCAGCTTGTCATAGACTGCCACCGTTGTCGGCCTGGAGCAACCGAATCAGCTGCATTTCGATGCGCTGCCCCAGCGAAATGCAGACGATTTGACCATCAAAGTGCATTTATTAAGTAAAAGTTCAACTGAGACACACTTTTCCTATAAAGTCGAGCTAACAAATAGTTGTTTTTAGGTGGTTATCTTGTTACATTTCAAATAAATGCACAGCGAGTCGCCCTCTGCACATTCATGTTTCCGCAAATCGGCTTTTGAAATGCAGCTGATTTGACCATCAAAGTGCATTTATTAAGCAAAAATTAGAATGAGATACACCTTTTACTATAATTTCAAGTAGGGGTGCACCGATTGCAGTTTTCTGGCCAATCACTGATTTCTAAAAAGTCTGACCTGCCGATTCCGATTTTGGCCGATACCGATTTTGTTTTATAAGCGACACTGTCGGATGTTATAAGTTCACAATGCACCTTCAATTTTCCAATCCTATTTTATCAAAAAACATAACCTTGAACAATATCCTAGAAACAATACAAACTTGTTTTAATTGGCCATGAGGTAGTGCTCTGAGATATAAATGAAGTTTAGAAAATTGTTGTTGGAAAAAAAAAAAAAAAAAATCGGTAAAATCGGTTTCTCGTGCAAGTATCGGACGATTTCCCAAAATTAAGGAAATCTGGGCCGATAAATTGGTGCACCCCTAATTTCAAGCAAACATATAATTGTTTTTAAGTGTTAATCTTGTTAAATTCTTGTTAAAGGCCTCCTGTGCACACTCCCGCAGCTGTCATTTGGCAGCCAATGAATTTTTGGCACAACACCGGTCCACATTTCTGGATTGTCAGTGACGCGTAACAAACACGACCTGTCAGCGGTGACTCATAATAGATGTGACATAGCAAAGCGACATATTTATGGATTTTTCCACTTGATTTGACAAATATGGACTGATGCGACTTATAGGGCGGTGTGACGTGTACGGCGGAAAATATGGTAGGTGAAATAATGCTACGTTCAGGGTCAGCTGGGAAACACAAACATACATCCATTATATATTATACATATTGAACAGATGCTGCTCTGAGTATTTGAACAGTTCTGGGATGAGTTGTTGAGCTGGCTTTAGTGTGATGTAAATTAAAAAGTTGCTAAACATCTGCCAAGATTATAAATTAATATGAAACCACACCACATTGCTGTCCTTATTTTAACCTGTTTTTGACTCTAACACCTCTGGAATAGTTTTGGTGTTCTTAGAGTTTTTGTGTTTTTGCTTCTTCTGTTTTTCTCTGCAGCTGCAACATAATTTATCTGCAAATGCTTTAAATGTTGCAACACATTTCGCTGTAGATTAGCGTGTTATTAAGGAGAAGTGAGGTCTGCTGATTCATGTTAGCCTAACATCAGCTCAGATGTTCTGTCTACAGTTAACGTCCTCCATCCTGTTTCACTGAGTTGACTTCATCCTATGTGTGCATCAATAAATCTGACAGTTACTGAGCAACACTTTGTGTCATAGAAAACAGAAAATACCAGGTGATTGTCACATGTTCTCAGGGTATTTATGTCCTGAAGGCGTTTTTGTCTTTGAATACCTCATTCATGTTGCTGACTGAGTTCTAATCAGGTTCTGCTCACTCAGTGATGACCTGGTGTGGTTCTGTGTCTCTGCAGGCAGCCGGGCCTATGTTCTGCTGTCCCTCAGTCAGCAAGATGGCATCGAACAGCACATGGACTTTGACAACCGCTTCACTCTACTGGAGCTTTTTGCTGAAACTACCTCCTCTGAGGAGCACGGCATCTCCTTTGAGGGCATCCACCTGCCTCAGGTAAACCACACGTGCCTCAGTTAAACCACGCCTGCCTCAGGTAAACCGCCTTTGGCTTGGGGACACTGCACCTGGCTTGGGTAAACAACATTTGACAAGCTGACCAGATGGACTTGAAACCAAGCTGACAGACATCTACACATTTTTGCATCACAAGGCCTGACCCGGGTTCTGAGTGTGTTCATTGGGCGGTCTGGCCCACTTGATATTGGAACCCAGAGACATGGGTTTCCATGTGAACAGATTGGTCCTTCAAATTTAACCTCAGAAGTCTACAGGCCATTGACTGGTTCCCTGCCCCAGTTGTACGCACAACCTAAACAATAAGCTAACATTATTTGGAATTAGTTTACCTTTTTATGTTGTCTTGTCCTCTCGTCTTTGACTTGATACTGATGTTTGGCCTCATACACGCTCATCTGTGTTTCTTCTAGCAGCAGCCTTTTGGTTGACTGTTTTATCTTGTTTTTGATTCAGGGAAATAACGAACAGGAGTAGTACAAGCACAAAAATGACATCATGTGAGCCTCGAGCATTCTTGCTATGACAGTCCCACCCACATGCAAAATCAACAAGGTTGTGCAGAGCTGGGGAAGACCTGGACTGTACTGATCCGAGCCATGCCGTGCCTTAAACAGGCTAATAGACATCCTCTCCCAGTCCTTCGTGTTGGGTCTACCTGTTGTCTCTTTCTCCTCAGATTCCTGGGAAGTTGCTCTTTTCTTTGGTGAAGCGTTACCTGTGCGTCACATCGTTGATGGACAAACTGAACACAGCAGGGGCAGAGTCAAGCTCTGACAGGCAAGATGCTAGCCCCGCCTCATCATCCTCTAGCTCCTCCCACCAGACTGAGCTCCTCCGAATCCAGCGAGAGTTTGAGTTTACCATGGCCATGGCCAACCTGATATCAGAACTAGTTCGAGTGATGGGCTGGGACCGAAACCGAAGGCCGCCTGACCTCTCCACCCACCACTCTGAGGGAGGCACAACATGTGAGGACGAGCAGAGTGAGGAGGAGGAGGTGCCCCGACCAGTCCTCAGGTCCATTTTCCAACCTCGATTCTGCGCTTCACCTGTGGCACTGACCAGCAGTTCCTCCGTCACAGTGGGCTCTGCCACACCAGCGAAGAAGAAGCTGGGAAACGGGTTCAAAACGCGCTCGGATTTTGCCAGCCGCTCAGCCTATGTTGAGTACGTTCAGGACAATCTGAAGAGTGGCATGATTGTCCGGATGCTAGAGGACTACGAGGAGGTGAGCGCCGGAGATGAAGGAGAGTTTCGTTACAGCAATGATGGCTCTCCACCTGTACAGGTAAAGGAACACTTCTTGTTTTTGTCTCAAAGATTTGAAACGGGTATTCTGAAGGATGAGGTCAGTCGAGATCACTCTCTGTAGGTGTACTGGAACTCCCTAGCCAGGACCTATTGGGTCCACTGGCACATGGTGGAGATCCTGGGTAATGGCAGCAGCAGCCAGTCTGAGAAAGAAACACAGGAGAAGGCCTTGTCCCTGACAGAGACCCTCAAACTCACTACAGGTAGCTACACTATAGGTAGCCATCATTTTTCCTATTCCACTTGAGCACCGCCTCAATCTCTGATCTTCTCTCTGCCTCTGCTTTCCTCAGTGTGTCAGACGTTCTTCTCCAAGCCTCCTGGTGGTCTCTACTCGCTGCCATATCTGTCGCAGCAGATGCAGGCCGAGCCAACGGTGCTAACCCGAGCTGAGTGGTGGGAGATCCTGTTCTTCATCAAGAAGCTGGAGTCAAAACAGCAGCAAGAGGTGACCAGCATCCTTCAGCAGAGCCTTGAGGAGCAGGTATAGAACCTGAAATTTAAAGTTTGAGCTGCCGAATAAAAGCTATCCTGTTACAGTTACTACTTCTTCTTCTTCTTCTTTCGGCTTTTCCCTCTTCAGGGGTTGCCACAGCGAGTCATCCTCCTCCACCTCATTCTGTCCTCTGCATCATCTGTCCTCACTCAAATCCTCTCTAACTGCATCCATATATCTCTTATTTGGCCTTCCTCTTTGTCTTTTTCCTTTGTCTTTTTCCTGGCAGCTGCATTTCTAACATCCTTCTACCAATATTTTCGCTTTCCGGACTTCACCCTCACTAAACTTTCCCACTTCCTTGTCCACAGTTTCTATGACCTCTACTCTTCTTTCTCTTTCATTCTCTTCATTCATTAGCTCCTCAAAGTACTCCTTCCATCTTCCCGTCACTCTCTTCTCACTTGTTAGAACATTACCATTCCTATCTTTAATAGGCCTAACCTGCTGCACATCCTTTCCAGCCTGATCCCTCTTTCTTGCCAATGGGTACAAGTCCTTCTCACCCGCTTTAGTGTCCAGTCTCCCATACAACTCATCGTACGCCCTCTGCTTTGCCTTAGCTACTTCCCTCTTTGCTCTACGTCCCATCTCCTTATATTTCCGTCTCCTCTGTTAAGTCCTCTCACTGTCATATTTCTTCTTGGCTAATCTCTTTCTTTGAACGGCGTTTTGCACTTCACTATTCCACCACCAGGTTTCCTTATCATCCATTCTCTGTCCAAATGACATACCAAGTACCTTCCTACCCGTCTCTCTAATTACTGTTGCTGTAGTAGCCCAGTCATTTGGAAGGTCTTTCTTACTACCCAGAGCCTTTAGCAGCTCCTCTCTGAATTTCTCACAACATTCTTCCTTCTTCATCTTCCACCATTTGGTCTTCTTCTCTGATTTTACTCTTTTTCTCTTTTTCACAACAACAGTCATTCTACACACAACCATCCGATGCTGTCTGGCCACGCTCTCCCCTGCCACAACCTTACAGTCTCCAATCTCCCTCGGGTTTCCTCTTCTACACAGAATGTTTTTGACCTGCGTACTCCTTCCTCCACTCTTATAGGTCACTCTATGTTCCTCCCTCTTTTAGAAATGGGTATTGCCTATAGACATTTCCATTCTCTTGGCAAAATCTACCACCATCTGTCCTTCTTGGCTTCTTTCTTTGACACCAAACCTACCCATCACTTCCTCATCCCCTCTGTTTCCTTCACCAACATGTCCATTCAGGTCTGCTCCAATCACCACTCTCTCCTCTCTGGGAATACTCTATATCACTTCATCCAGATTTTTCCAAAATGTGCCTTTCTCCTCCTCATCACATCCAACCTGTCAAGCATAACCACTGACGATGTTTAGCATCAGACCTCCTACCTTCAGGCACATCACCCTATCTGACACTCTCTTCACCTCTACTACATTCTTTGCCAACTCCTCCTTTAGGACCACCCCTACCCCATTTCTCTTTCTATCCACACCATGGTAAAACAGTTTGAACCCTTCTCCAATGCTGCGAGCCTTGCTGCCCTTCCACTTGGTCTCTTGGACACATAAAACATCTACCTTTCTTCTCTGCATCATGTCAGCCAGCTCTCTACCATTGCCTGTCATTGTCCCCATATTTAGAGTTGCAACCCTCAGTCCTACATTTTTCACTTTCCTCTTCTCCCTCTGTCTCCTGACACGTTTCCCTCCTCGTGGTCTTCGACTAACAGTAGCACAATTTTCGCCGGCACCCTGTTTGTCAACAGCACCGGTGGCGGTCCTTGTTAACCCGGGCCTCTACTGACCCGGTATGGTTTTGCTTTGATGAACTCGCATTATTGTTTTGGCAAAAGTGTTTTACATCGGATGCCATTCTTGACAACCCTCACCATTTCCCGGGCTTGGGACCGGCACAATAGATACAATGGCTTGTGCTCCCTAGTGGCTGGTTTATCCTGTTACAGTTACGAATGTTCTTTGTCCCTTCAGATAATCCTGTGTGGAAAAATCATCCATGCGTTGATTTTGTTTAGTATTATTATTATTATTTTATATTATTTATTTATTTATTGGAACCTGCAACCAATAAAAGATGTCTGGTATCTGGTTAATGTAGATTCTGAAACCGGCTCTTAGTTTGAAAAAGGTTTTAATTTTGGCCCCCCTTTGTAAATGAGTTTGACACCCTTGCACTAGAGCGACTGAAATCACTCGTGACTATTTTTTTCATTCATTCATTCATCCTTTATTTAGACAAGTAAATCCCATTGAGCCTCAAGGACTCATTTACAAGAGAGACCTGATTTCAACAAAGAATGAAGACAACAATGGACAACAGCGACAACAATAGACCGTTATAAAAAGGCATACAGATTTTTTATTATTTTTTTTACAAATAAGATGGCAACAAAAAGTAACAAAAACAGTGTAACTATCACACGCAGGCTTGTTGATTGACTTCAAAGGAGGAAAAAAAAGCATTCTCACTCAGAGTAGGTGGCACCAGATATTTGAGTAGGTGGCAAAATAACCGCCCGCCTCCTGTTATGGATAGTTGTCTTAATGGTTTCTTACGGTTTAGTTGTTACAAATGGTTGCAGACAGCTGTCTTAATGGTTACAGACAGCTGTCTTAATGGTTACAGACAGCTGTCTTAATGGTTACAGACAGCTGTCTTAATGGTTACAGGCAGTTGTCTTAATGGTTACAAGCAGTTGTCTTAATGGTTACAGACAGCTGTCTTAATGGTTACAGACAGCTGTCTTAATGGTTACAGGCAGCTGTCTTAATGGTTACAGACAGTTGTCTTAATGGTTACAGTAGGGATGAAACGATTCCTCGAATCATTCGAGGACCTCGATTACAAAAAAAAATCCTGGAGGCAAATGTATCTGCCTCGAAGCTTTGTTAAACTATTCCCTGCACTGTGGTCTAGCCGGGAGGTTTTTGTGTTACACATCGCTAGCTCTTCCGCTAACACGTATGTGCTAAGTTTGTAGCTATGGAGGGAATGGAGACTGCCTAGAAGAAGAGCCCCGAAAACAACCTGGATCTGCCCATCACTGCAATTTTCACTGTTTTTGGGTTCTGAATGATCGCGTCTTCATTAATGTTTCTCATGGTTCAATTATGGGGGTTAACTGTCACACTGTTAACTCCTGTAATTACACATTAGTCATGAAAAACTCAAGAAATTGTCTGATAATAATGTTGTTACTGCTCTCAGGGATTCAGCCCAACCCTGGACCCCCCACTAATTACAGCACACCAAATGACTTTAAAAACATGTCAGGACTTCATTTTCTGCATGTAAACGTACGTAGCCTTCTGAGAAAACTTCATGCCTTGGAAATTCTGGTCAGTTCTTCTGGGGCAGATGTAATCTTCATCTCTGAAACCTGGCTCAACAAATCTGTACTGAATAATGACCTGGTAATCAATGGATTTAACATTTACCACTGTTATTGTCAAAAAAAGTGGGGGGTGGAGTCGCTATTTACATCAGAGATTCTCTGGTTTCTAGTCTTGTCTGTTAAAACAATTCCAAACCAAATCGATGCCTTAGCTGTAAACACACTTTGAATGGAGGCCATATCATATCTGTAGTGAGTTGTTATCGTCTCCCCTCAGCAACGCCTGAGGCTCTGTCCTCCCTGATGGAATTCCTTAGAATTTAAAATTCAAAGAGATTTTTTTGGCAGGAGATTTCAACATTGACTGGAATAAGTCAACCCCCCTCTGTGATAAATTCAAGGAATGTTGCTTGTCACTCAATCTAACCCAATTGATCGACTCTCCCACTAGACCAAACAAAAACCGTCCTGAAAAATCTTCTTTCTTAGACCTGTTTCTAACTAATATGCCTCACAAATTCCCTGGTACAAGTGTATTCGCTAACATTTTGAGTGATCATTGTGTAACAGCGACTTTCAGAGATATTAAACGTCCATCTTCTAAGCCCAGATTAATTCAAAAAAGGGATATAAAACGTTTTTGTGAACAGTCATTCCTCTGGGATCTATCCCACTTTGACTGGCATCGTATTCTTTTAATTGATGACGTGAACTCCGCTTGGAACTATTTTCATAATGGTTTCATTTATTTTGTGAACAAACATGCTCCTTTTTGTCAGTTCAGAATAAAAGAACGAGACAGCCCCAGGTTTACTCCAGAGCTAGCTGACCTCCTGCACAGGAGAGACCATCTTTGGGCCGCAGCGAGAAAATCTGGCTCAGACATTGATTGGTTGAGTTTTCGACAGATGAGGAATAAATGTACAACTTCCATCAAAGCAGCTAAATGCAATTATTTCTTATCTCAGACCTCCAAAAATCAAAATGACCCTAACAGATTCTGGAAAACCATCAAATCTCTCTCAGGCAGTCCCCAATCATCTGACCTCCCATCACAACTTCTCGTTAACTCTGTTCCTGTGTCAAATAAGCACGAGATCCTGAACTGTTTCAACAAACATTTTGTTGCTTCTGGTTCTTTATTTGACACAGTTACTAATGGAAAATCAGCCACTTCACTTAATAACCAAACTTCTACAAATCAAATCCCTCCTACAAGTCAATCCTCAGTTAATCATACCTTCTCTTTTTCTCCATTCTCAGTCAGTGAGGTCAATAAACTGTTAAAAGGTCTTGATCCTAAAAAATCTGCAGGTCCAGATGAACTTCCACCTTATTTCTTAAGGCTGGCTGCTCATATCATCACAGTCCCTGTGACCCACATCTTTAATCTCTGCATAAACCAAAACTCCATTACAGATGCTTGGAAAACAGCCTTTGTTCTTCTTTTGCTGAAGGGAAGAGACCCCACCTCACTGAACAACTATCGACCAATCTCTAAACTCTGCATTTTAGTCAAGGTTCTAGAAAAACTGATAAACTCTCAAATAAAAAATTACCTGGACTTATTTAACATCTTACCTCGCCATCAATCTGGTTTCAGGAAACAACACAGCACAACAACTGCTTCACTGAAGGTTCTTAATGACATTG